GATAGCACAATCGTTTCGGCCGAAAGATGGTCATGGGATTGACTTCACTTGTCTCTTTACGAGTTGTAGCTTGGTGCTGAGAATAGCAAGGCTACTGATTATCGCGTCTACGATGCTGGAGAAAAGTCTGCGAGTGTACCAAGTCCACGGTCTGATCCTGAGAATTACGATAACTACTTCGGACAAGGTACATTCAAATAAGTCTCCCTGATAACAAGACCAAGTTGCGAAAACGAGGTCCACTCACTTCTAGAGCAGAATCAACTAAATTAGGGCGTTAGGGCAAAGCCTTCATCTATTTGAGCGTACCGGATTCATAGGCATCTCAGAGTTAGGGCAAGGGATATTTTTTGATAATTAAATAAAAATATAAAAAGAAACTGCGTTTCTCGCTGTGTCTATGTACCCAAACATTCCTGTACAAGAAGCTATTCAAGCTCTGATATAAAATACTAGAGGAACATCCAGAAATAACACAAGGAATAAGGAGTGTAGCTTCCATTATTAGACTTATTAATCTATGCATGAATACCACATATTTTACCTTTGATGGTAAGTTATACGAACAAACGCAAGGATTAGCGATGGGATCTTGCCTGTCTCCAATCTTAGCGAACAATTATATGGCAAGATTGGAGGAACATTTCCTACAAGAAGCAATACTAACACCCAAAATTGTGGGTTAGATGCATGGATGACTATTTTGTCATCTGGCCTCATGGTAAGGAGAATTTAGATAATTTCCTACTTTCACTCAACCAGCGTGAAAAGAACATTAGGTTCACGATGGAGATGGAAGAGATTAAGTCCTTAACTTTTTTGGATGTTCTCCTCATTAGAGAAGAGGGTAAGTTAGAAAGAGATGTTTATAGAAAGCCAACATATGTTGGCACTGTTTAATTTTCTTTCCAACCATAGTTATATGACTAAGGTTGGAATTTTGAAGTCAAGGATTCTTAGAAGTATGAGGCTAGCGGATAGCAAACATTTGACTAAAGAGTTTCAACAGCTGACAAATATATTCCTGGAAAATAATTATCCTTTAGGCCTTACTGAGAATAATATCTCTCTGCTAAGGAATAAATTTTCAGACGGAGACCATTTAGTCAAAGAGAGACAGATTGAGACCCTTTCTCATGTCTTAATTTTGCAACCATGCCTAATCTCGGAAAAGATAGGCGAATTAGTAAGAAAGTGGTGGATAAAAACAGTGTTCAAAGAAACCCTCAG